GTCGTCTGCTGTGCCCAGTGTTGTTGTTGTCGTCGCCCCCCTGCCACCATGCCGAGCTGCCACAGCTGCGACAAAACAATCGCCCAAAGGGCCGAAACCATTGAGTGCGTCAAGTGTAACAATGTCGCCTGCCACAAGAAATGCGTTCCGGCGTCCCAGGCGGCAAGCTGGACTTGTACGGCGTGCTCGTCGAGTGGCCCGGACGGCCTGACCTTGCAGCACATTTTGGCGGCGATTGAGGCAAGCAGCTCCAAACATGAAAAAATGCTAAAGGACACCGAGGCCAACCTAGGTGCGGCCATCGAAAACTGCACGGCGACTGTCTCGGTGCTCACCGCCAAGGTCGAGTCGCTCGAGAAGAACGTCGGCTCTCTGGAGGTCGACAACGAACAGCTGCGTAACAGGGTGAGCGAACTTGAGGCCGCGCTGCTCGCCACCGAGCAGTACTCGCGGGTCAACGACGTGGACGTTGTGGGGATCCCTTGTGTCAATGGGGAAAATGTCGATGTGATTTTGGACAGTCTTGGCAAGGCCCTGCATTTTCCGCTGTCGCGGGAAAATGTTGAAGTTGCTCATCGCACCGGGCCGGCCTCCGCCACCCAACGGGGGATCATCGTCCGGTTCCTGCGGAAACCAGACAAAGAAGGCTTCCTCCGTGCCCGAAAGGTTAAACGCGACCTTACTGTAAATGACCTTGATATCTTCAAAGACAAGCCTGCGTTCGTCCCCCACGCTAGTTCCATCATCTACATTAGGGAGAGCCTCAGCCAGTCCATGAGAACTCTCTTTAATAATGCCCGTCGTCTAAAAGCCGAAGGAAAACTTAGTGATGTGTGGGTTACCGGGGGGAAACTCTTTGTGAAAAAGCAAGCAAATAGTCCAAGGACCCAAATTAAATCTCTTGCTCATCTATGGAGCTTTGCCGATCACTAAAGTTGATTTTCACTGTGTTCCTGCATTTTGGTGCCTCACATACTCCCCCGGCGATGCTTTGTTTACGGTTCTGTTTATTGTTTTTGTTTTGTTTGATGTTATGTTTACCATCATGTTGCTGTTTGTGTTTGATGTACTTCCAACGCCCACCAATTGTATTTCACCTCCGCCTAACTTGCAGTTGTATGTACTGTCCTGTCTTCTATTTATGTACCAATAATGACTGATTTAGATAGTAAGTCTTTGTTAATGTCGTTGTGTTCAAACTATAAAAACTTTCTGAAGGTGATACATCTAAATGCACAATCTCTCACATATGATTGCCATGCCAACGAGTTTATGCATCTATTTGACAGCAGTGATATTGATGTAATCGCAGTAAGTGAAACATTTTATAAATCTAATGCAGACATTGTGCCCCTTTCTGGCTTTAATATCTTTACTTCAAACAGAACCTCCCACGATGGAGGCGGTGTGGCTGTGTACATTAAATCTTCTTACCAATGCAGGGTCATAACTCAGTCTGTGTCACCAATGTTCAGACAACAGCAGCCTGATTTCATAATCTTGGAAATTTCTCTGAGCAATGCCAAAGTACTGTTTGCTTGCATTTATCGGCCACCTAAAGCTGGACACCTTAGTGATTTTGAAGAGGCTCTTTTCCCTCTCTGTGCCGAATATCAATATGTAGTTGTTGCTGGTGATGTAAACGCCCACTTTGGTAGCTCCCTACCCTGTGATATAAACGACGGCAAACACGTCTTTCAACTATTGGAAATCTGCAACCTGAGTCGTGTGCCATTTGCTGCCACCTACCACACAGCTACATGTGACTCATCTCTAGACATGATTTCTTCAACCTGCCCAGACAAACTGCTTCATTACTCACAGTTCCCTGCCTGTGGTCTCTCAGCACATGACATCCTTGCCGCTGTTTTCAACTTTAATGCCATAAAACATACTCGCACCACCTATACAAGGAGGGACTTTACTAACTTTAACATAGAGGAGTTCAGGAAAGATGTTCTTGAAGCCCCCTGGGAAGACCTTTTGCACATGAAAGACGTCAATGATAAAGTAGCATACTTTAACGAAACACTCATTGCACTCTTCGACAAGCATGCTCCCATAAAATCATTCACAAGAAAGTCACAGCCTAAACCCTGGTTCACCGATGAAATTAATGCTATGATCAAGAGTCGAGACATCGCGCTCAGGCGCTACCGACGCACTAAATATGACCAAGATTTTACCACATATAAGATCCTTAGGAATAAAACTAAAACACTTATAAGAAACGCCAAGATTCGCCATGCATACTCCCTGTTTGGAAACAGCTGTAACAATCCACGACAACCTTGGCAATCCCTAAGAAATTTGAATGTAACTAAAACTTCTGTACAATCCTGTTCCTTCCCACCTGCCGAAGATCTAAATGCACATTACACCTCTGTACCTCTAACTGATGTTAATGCCATAAGAAATACTAAGGATGCATACGACCACATACCTCCTGTAATTAATGATCTGTTTGCTTTCAAATATGTTTACTTTGAAGATCTCATTAAAGTTGTAAAGAGCCTTAAATCCAATGCCAAAGGAGTTGATTGTATTACCACTGCTATGCTAAAATGTTGTATCTTTGAGTTGTCACCTGCTCTTCTGCATATTTTTAACTTCTCTCTCCAACATGGTGTATTTCCTGAATTATGGAAAATTGCTTCTGTCAAACCTCTTCCAAAAGTGACTGGTGCAAGCGAGTTAAAACAATTTCGTCCTATCAGCATACTGTGTACTCTCTCTAAACTTCTAGAAAAAATTGTTCATGCACAACTTACTGAGTTCCTAATATGTAATGACCTACTGTCACCGCATCAATCAGGCTTTAGGGCCGGATACAGCACTACAACTGCCCTACTTAAAGTTGTCGGTGATATTAGGGAAGCTATTGGTCGGAGGCAACTCACTTTGCTTGTTTTGTATGATTTTAGCAATGCTTTTCCATCTGTCAACCCTGATTTGCTAATTAGTAAGCTTAAATGCCTAGGCATCTCTTCACCTGTTTTAGACTGGTTCAAATCATATTTAACTGATCGTCAACAGTTTGTAAATACTGGCATTTCAATCTCCCAGCTTGCATATGTTCTGCTCGGGGTTCCACAAGGCTCTGTCCTGGGACCGCTATTGTATACCCTTTATGTCAATGACATTAGCTCAATCTTTAGTAGCTCTCTATTCCACTTATATGCAGACGATCTACAAAATTATTACCATTTCTATCCAGAGGATTACCAGAAAGCTATTGATGTCATTAACAACGAAGCTGCCAAACTGTATCATTATGCCACTTGTCATAATCTTGCCATCAACGAAAAGAAAACCCAGGTTATTATAGTTGGCAATCCTAAAATACTCAACAAACTTCCTAGTGTAGTGCCCTCTGTGTGTATAAATGAGACTTGCCTGCCATATAAAACAACAGTTGTCAACTTAGGAATCACCCTGGATCACCATCTGACGTGGGAACCTTATGCAAATGTAATATGTAAAAAAAGTATAGCATCGCTGCAGCAAATTCGTAGACATAGGCATCTACTACCCACACCTGTCAGAAAACAC